ATACTTTCATAGAATCCATTACAAGTGATTTTCACACCTTTTTCAAAACTAACTCCTGTCTCTTAAATCACTTTCTCAAACATTTCAGGATTTAATGAATCTTTCAGTTTCAATTTAATTTGGAGTTTATTGGAAAAGAAAAAGACAAATATTGTCAATTCTTTACAGAGATTGCTCAAAATTTCCATCTCAAATTATAAGATGGCCCCAGTAACTAAGATTTGAAGCAATTTAAAAAATTCATTTTTCAACTTGCTACCATATTGGTTTGTGTTGCTATTGACAGCTCTCTTTACTAATATCATTTTGGTAATGTTGCTTTTGAAAAATGGCATGCCTACAACCCTCTTGCTAATTTATCTCCTAAAATTCTGATTTATGGTTAGTAACGATACTACAGTATCTGTCTATATCTCTGAGATGAAGTATTATGATTACTTACATTATTTGGACTGTTATCTTCATCTTCACAACATTTCGGCTGATGTATGCTCCAGCCTTCTTTAGGTGATTGGAATTTTGAACTGAACCCTTTATTTCGCCCACCAGGATAGATTGTTCTAGTTCCACATGCCATGCCTCTTCCAGATGTCTTAGTTATTTCCCTTTAACTCAACTCTACAAGTTTGGTTCTGGTATTGAACTCACAACTCTTTCGGTCTATTCACTGGATCTAACCAATGTCTTTATCCACTGGGCCATGAGTCCACTGGGCCATCTGTGTATGAATTTTTGGGATTTATAAACATAATGTCTCAGCAACCATTTTTTACCAGTGCTCATATTGCAATTTTTCTGTTATTATTATTGCATGTTCTTTACCAGAGCTTATATAGCAATTTTTGTTGTTATTCATTGCTTTTCTCTAGCATTCCTTATTACTGGTTCTCATATTGTATTCATATCTGTGCTTGGTTAGCTCAGGAGATTTTTGTGGACTACTAGAGAAAAGCAATGAATAACAACAAATATTGCAATATAAGCTCTGGTAAAAAAATTATATAATAATAAAAGAAAAATTACAATATGAGGACTGGTAAAAAAATTATATAATAAAAGAAAAATTACAAATATGAGCACTGGTAAAAAACGGTTGCTGAGACATTAGGTTTACAAGTCCCAAAAATTCAAACACAGATGGCCTCAAGGACACATGGCCCAGTGGATAAAGATGTTAGTTAGATCCAGTGACTAGACTTAAAGGGTTGTGAGTTCAAACTTGAAGAGTTGAGATAAAGGGAAAAAGAGTCATGGCACGTGGAAGTAGAACAATCTACCCCGGTGAATGAAATAAAGGGTTTGTTTCAAAATTCCAATCATCTGAAGAAGGCTGGAGCCTACAACAGATGAAATGTCCTGAATATGGCAATGCAGATGAGTATAACAGTCTGAATAATGTAAATAATATAAGTAACAATACCACAGTACCAATAACTATTAAAAAATAAATAGTAAATAATGGAATTTTATATAAAGTAGCTATACATATTGGCCTAGGATGGACCAGGATATTGAAAAAAAAATGGTAAAAGAGTGTAGAGGTTGTCAACTTGCTGCAAAACCACCACCAATAAAAATTCAGCCATGGCCTAAAACTGATGTCAAGTGGATGAGGTTACAGATCGACTACACTGGACCTATAAAATGGTTACTATTACCTTATAATCGTGGACAGTTTCTCCAAGTCACTAGAAATATTCAAATGTAGACACTCGACATTCACAAATATTATGAATGTACTGAATAAACTTTTTAGTCGTTTTGGTATACCAAAAACTTTAGTTAGTGACAACAGGACAATTTACCAGCAGAGAATTTCTGCACATCTTTGTCCACAGACCACATTACGACCTCGTTTTACCATCCTAGATCAAATGGTCAAGCAGAAAGATTCATGAACACTTTTAAAAGAGCTCTAAGAAAGAATCATGGCATGGACACTGATGAGAGGAATATACAAAAGTTTTTAGCAGTGTACAGAATTACTTCCAATCTGAACATAGATTCAGGCCTATCACTAATGCAAAGAGTTGCCTAGTCCAATGAAAAGAGTGGTAAAAAAAAGAAAACTTTGTGACCAAATTTTTAAAAAACCAGGAGACTGAGCTTTCTTCAGAAATTATAGAGGTGGAAAAAGCTTCTGGAAAGATGGAATTATCACCAAAAGACTTGTCAGAGTGATATACATGCTCAAAGGAAGAAGATTTGAATGTAAGAGACATTTAAATCAGTTAAGGCCAAGACATATGAAAGATATCACGCCTAATGAAAAATTACCAATGTAGGTAATATATGACTCATTTGAAATACCAGTTCCCATATCTCCACCAGTACCTATGGAAGCATCTCCAACCCCATCAGTGCTAGAAGTATCAGCTCCCCGAAAACCACTAATGCCTCAGATCTCACCAGCACAAAAATTGGTGAGATGGAGAAGTACTAGGAAGAGAAAAAAAGTCAAACAACTATGTCCTGACCCAAAAAAGAAGAGGTATTGAGCGAAATTTTGTGTGCGCGTCAACATTGAGCTCCTAATAATCCATGACTGGGTGGACCTTCTGTTTGTTTTCCTGCAGCAGAGCCATTAGAGGGATCAGGCCCTTGTGTCACAAGTTCTTCCTTGGGATACAGAAGTAACCAGCCATTATCCATCCATATTCGTTAGCCGTAGCTCATGAGTATACTCCTCCCTGAGCAGCTTTGCTACTGGATACTCAGTTGTCCAGTTCTCAATGCAGGGGGTGTCTGGTCACCAGACCACTTCCAATAGTTCTACATTTATCATAAAAATTACCATTTAGTTTTTTGCTATTCTTCACTAAATACATTTCTTTTAGTTACAGTTGTTTAAAGCTGATAGTTTGAGTAAAGGCATAAAAGCAAACAATGTTCATAAGATACTATATTTTTCTTCAGTTACATTTGCAATAACAGATTCTTCAAATATTTTTTGCAGCTCAATCCACTTTCCTTGTTTATTACTCATTTCAGTTTTCTCAAATTCTTTTTGTCACATTCCTAAAATAATGTTTTTGTTCTCATCTTACTAATCGTTTCCATTTCCTTTTTGAATGTTCCTTGATCTTTGGTTCAACTTTTTCAAAATTTCCAACATTGTGTTCATATCACTCAGTATCTTTACAATATCTTGTTTTTCTTTTGAGGCTATATATTATGATCCATGGCAATATTTATTTACCTGTTCCCATCGCTCAATAACTTTACAGTTTCTTTTTTGAGGGTATATCTTATGACCCATACTAATTTTTATAAAGCCGAAATTAAAAAATACCAACATCTATAATATATTTATCCAAACAAGTTTTATTAAATAGCACTGACATGGTCTGTCTATTCAACTTTTTTATTGTCTTTCCAATTTATTAGAAATAAACTTGTCCAAAGTTCAGATTTGTTTGTTTTTCTATTATACACAAGCACTTTCAGCTATCAGTCATTATCAAGAATTGTGCGTGATCAGTATAGTAATATATTTTATCTACAATACACAATGAACAACTCTTGAGTTACGGATTAAAATTTGAAATTCACTTGGTATATTTATAGTATTCTGAAAATTTTATCCACATTGGTTGTTTAATACGAATATATTGTCGAAATATTGACTTTTATAAAAAACCTAATTAGGTATAAGTAATATTCTATAAATATGTAACTAATTTATAATTCCCATGCAGAATAAATCTTGGTCATGCATATATATTTTACATATGATTTTTCCTTTAGTACAAGTTCCCAGGTATGCCCTATATATTTTACAAATTTTGAAATTATCAAATTTATACTGCCAAAAATGTTAGTTAGCAAAAACAAATAAGAACAAATGAAAGAATAAAAATATTAAAAAAAAATAATAAAAATATAAAAAATAATTTAATGTAGAAAAAAAAGAAGACTGACTTAATAAAATACTGTTGTCCATCCTCAGTGTATGCTGCCTCCCAGTTGTTAGGTAAAGGACCCAAATTGGAAGTGCTTCTTGCACGTTCTAATGACCTCTGTCTTATCACAGGAACTGCATCTCTGAATGGCACAGGGGAAGATTTGGATGATGACATTTCTGAATTACTAGGTAAACGTTTCTTTCCTTCAGAATAATAACCACTTCCAAAAAGTAAACTTCCAGTGGATCCAGTGCGCCGTACTTGAACTACATTTGGTTCTTTTGGAGGTTTTGGTGTTCCATAATGGTTACCTGGAAAGGAACAAGAAAAACCATTAATAATCAACAAAAGGTTTGTCTTTGTACAAAAAAAATAAAGAATGAATAAAAGGAAAAGAAAAAATTAAAGGAATAGAGGAAAAAAAAAAAAAGAAGTCAGATCTGAATTATGTTCATGCAGTGCATCTTTTCAGGTCATTTTCATGTCAATATACACCACCACAACCATTCTGTGAACAGATATATTTAGATGGTTGCACTACTATCAAATTTTAAGAGATTAACAAACAGAAACAAATGTCAAACATGGATGACAGTATTTACTAAGTTGAGGAGGGAAATGAGTAATTTGTTTAGGATTTATTTTAGAATTGTTTTGCTTTTGATCAACACAGTTTTTCATTAGTTTTGGTAAGCTTTGTAACAAGTGTGATGTCAAACCAAATATGTGCAAATATGTATATAAAAAAAAGAAAAAAAAGAAAAAAAAAAAAAAGAAAAATTAGAAATCCTTACAAAAGGATATGTGCATATTTATACAGCCATTACACGGTCTATTTTTTATCATACATTTAGAAGTTAATACTATATGATAAAGTATACCAGAGTCAGAGAAAACTTTTTTCAAATATTAATGCATCAACAACATATACTCCTAAAACTTCCTATTGTTGGACCACATTGTAATAATATGACCTCTTCTCTCCTTTGCACATATAATGAATAATAATGAAGACAACACCTAGCATAATACAATGAAACTATTCATAAAATGACAATGTTAAAGATCTATACTGGTTAAATAAGTTATTAAAAGCTAAATGGCTCAGTAGTAAACAATGGCAAAATACTTAATTAGACTTTATTTGTTTAACAAAAAAAATGTTTAAAAGTTGCCCAAAAGCAAGAAGTATTTCCTGTCCCTACATATAAGAAAATGATTATATGAAAAAAAAAAAAAATGATGCAATAACAATAGTTTTACAGAAAAAAGAAATCATCTTATATTTATATTTCTTTTATCATTTGTGTATATTTATGAAAATACTGAACAAAGAAGAGTAAATAAATGTTGGTTTGGTTTAAAACATGACAATCATTGCATTGTCTTTTATAAATATGTCAACAAATGTAAAGTAATAAACAAAAGGCATATAACAAACTGAAGAAAAAAAAAATGAAGTTAAAATCTGAAATGTAGATACTTTCTCTTGGGGATTCTATACCTTTATCAGCTTGACTTTGGGCAATTACTAAGTTTGCACCTAAATAAAATATATACACATGACCAAAGCTAAGTTCCTGTTTTACTGGTTTCACTAAGATAGATTACCTTAATGGCTGGGGGATGTCCAAGTAATGTAACACACACACACAAAGTTAAACCACAAAGCTATAATTATAGACAGTTCAACCCAAGTAACAAATGTGTCTGAATAAAAGAAATAGAAAATCCTTTATGACATTTTTTATTAATAAAGACTAAGAGAATCAGAGATCTTGTTAAGAAACTTAAGCAAGACTTGGTCAAAAACCTTTTTCAGGTAATTATTATTTCATTGTGTACAATTTTTAAATTTGTGAAATCACAATCATAAGTTTTTATGCTTTTATAACACACACACACACACATATATATATATAAGACATGACTCATTAAATAATTTAGACAAGTTTTGTCTACTAATTTTTAATAGTATCCTCTCGTAATTACAGACAAGTTTCCTAGTATCCTTATTAAAGGAAGAAAATTACCATGTTGATGCATATTCATTTTATTCTGAGTACTTTTGACATTAGCACAATGTTGTCATCAGGGTCTTGTTTTTTCTAAGACAAAAAATTGTTGTATTTTTGTAATAAAATGAATATGCATCAACATGGTAATAAGACATGCCTTAATGAAAACATGCTGCCAAGACACACACACAATTTTTTTTTAATTGATCATTTCTTCAATTTTGACAATTTTTCTAAAGTTTAGACTGAGGTTGAATTTGAATTGATTCTGGCTTCTATGAGCTTCTTATCAAAGAATGTGTTCATGTATTAATAACCTGATCAAAATGTGTTTAGACCTTTTGCATTTGAGTTTATTTTATAAGTTATGTCACTTAACAGTTTTCAAATATTATGTTCAACCTCAATCTGAGAATTGAAAAAAAAAATCATAAAGAGCTTTTGTGTATGCATGCGGGTATATAAAACATGTTCGGTTATTTTGTTAGATTGTGAGGAATGGATTAAGCTAGTCATTTTTCAGCACCCTCTCTCTCACACGTGTGTGTATGCAAAATTATCCTTAAGTTACTATTAATTTCCTTTGAAATAATAAAATTAATTTTTCAAATACTGAAACAATTTTTTTTATATATAAAAGTTAGAATAGAATTTTAGATTTAGAACAAATATTCATCATCCATCCAGAAATGTTTTATTCAATACAATAACATTAAGGATAAAACAGAAAAAAAATTAAGAAAATTATCTTCAAACTTCAATTCATAATCAATGGCATAGCCTTTCTGATCAGTAACTTTAACCAAACAATTTTATCTACTAAAAATTTTTTTTTGTATGTAGCCCATTTCCCCACGTTAGTTGCTTCCAACCACCATGGTTAACATCTAGTTGACCTCTCACTCATTAACACATTGCTGATGAGCACAGTTCCACTCAATCTAGCTGGTGTTTGTCTTCTTCAAGATCCTTCATTGGTCTGCCATGTTGTGGTTTTGATCTCAGAGGGTGAGAAAATCACTGGTGAAGTAAACTGAAGTAAAGGACGGGTTGATGGTGAGGAGCTACACAAAAAAAGAATTCTTTGGAATAAAGAATTAACTCTGGTTAAAAATGTAACAATGATTTGATTTATATATGATTTGTTGTATACAGTAGTTTTAACTCTTCCTCTTAAAATGATACTGGGATCCTCTTTTGGAGTTTGACGCTTGTGTTAATTTCTAAGTTCTGATCTTTAAGGTCATCAGAAGGTCTTGGTGAATGATGTGGATTCCAGTAGCAGTAATGTGGGGACTCTTCAAGTTGTCCAGACCTCCAGCATTTATGGAATCCTGTGTCCAGCAGGAGTGGGGTTGCCTAGAGTCTGGGTCTGATTATCTTCCACCCTTAGTATCAACCTTTTTCTAAAATTCCATATTCTCAAAATATGTTCATGAGTGATTTTCCAAATTTGGCTGTTGTCCTGCTCCATTTTGAGAGTGGCCAGAGGATTCAAGCTGCACTTAAACTTCAACTCCCTTCACATCTCATCTTGCACCATTGCTCCATAAAGGTGGTGCTAATCTCTTCCTTCCTTCCTAGAAAAATTTTTCTCATCAGAACTTGCATATTTATTAGTCTACAATTCATCCATATAATGAATATTGCTGCCACATCTGGTTTGGTGCTTCTGCAATATATCTAGAAAAAAATCCAAATGAGAATATGCAATGTTGTTATTCCAGACTCAGCATCTGAACTTCACTTTCCCACTGTGGTAACAGCTTCCCTGTTCTTCTTATAATTCAAACATGAGCATAAAAATACAGAATGTAAAAACAAAAAGCCCATTAAAAAAAAAAAAAAAAAAAAAAAAAAAAATGGGCATTTTCAAAAAATAAAAATCAACAACCATATTAAACACAAAAATTCAGCCCCATATTCTCTGCACCAAAATGGTTTTGCAGAAAGATCTTAGTGATCCCTCTTTGAAATGGGGGAAACACCTAATTGAATCAAAATTATTAGGAATGTATGCTGTTATGACAGCTGCCTATATATAAAAAAAACAAAAAAACAGGTCAAAGAATGGGAAAAACTGCATTCAAAATATTCGTAAGTAAACAACCTAACTCCAACAAAATGCCTATTTTGGGCACAATTTGTTATGCCTATATACAAAGTAAAAAGGAACTTGATGCTAAATATGAAAAAGAAATTTTTATAGGCTACAATAAAGGTAGTCCTTCATATCTCAGAAAATGAAAAGGTCAAAAATGGTGTATAAAATTCACTGACAATTTTGAAATTTCCAATACATCAAAGCAATTCTTTAAGTCCAGTCAAAAAAAAAAAAGTTGCAATTTTACTTCCCAATTATGAGGATGTTAAGTTATACGAACAGATAATCCAACCAACAATATGAAAAATAGTATCAGTGAGGAAATGTCTACCAGAAGATGCACGACCAGATTGCAAAAAATGACTGAATACTTAAAAGATATAAACTTTTGCTATTCTGTAAAATATATGCCCAATACTTACAGCGAAGTTATTACTTCAAATGACTATAAAATGGTGTGAGGCCATGGAAAATGAAATGATTGCTCTCAAAATGAATGATACATATTAATTAACTACAATCCAGAAAGGCTCTTGTTGGGAGTTAATAGATTTACACTATGAAAAATAATAAAAATGGCAACAAACAATACAAGGCTCGGTTTGTTACCAAAAATCATTTATAAACCCATGGAATAGATTATATCTGATTGACTGCAGAGTGTATGTAGAACAGCCAAAAGGTTGTCTTACAACAGATAAAAACAAAATTTTAATATACAATTAAAAAAGTCATTATTCAAATTTAAGCAAAGCAGGCAACATTGGAATCCTTATTTAACTGGTTAGGGATCCTCCTGTTCCTTAGCAGACTCCTGTATTTGCACAAAAAATATTTTGAATAAAATTGAAATCGTATGAGTGGATGACATCCTCGTTGCTACATGGATGACATGCATTAATCAATGTAAGAAAAAAAAAGTTTAAATGAACAATTAAAAATGACTAATTTTGGACAGCTTTATTTTTTTTTAGGTATACAATTTGAGTTTTAAAAGATAACTCTATTGAGATGAATCAATCCTGATATATAGAAAAGATTCTAGCCAAATTTGGAATGCAAGATTGTAAATCCCAATCAACTCCTTGTGAAATGAATATTAATATAATGAATGAAAGCATGGCTGAACCAGCAGATGAAAAATATTACCAAGAAATAGTTGGTAGCCTGATATATATGACCAGAATTCATCCAGATATATAGTGGTGAAATTATTGCAATATTCAACACAACCAACCATGGGTCACTTGATAAGGGCCAAACAAGTTTGATGCTATTTAAAAGGCCAAATAAAAAATAAAACAAACACATCTAGTATAAATCTAATAACCCCTTGAGGCTTTTTCAATGCTGATTCGGAGAAATCAAAGGATAGGCACAGTATCACAGGGTATAATTTTCAATTATTATTAAATGGTTCTATGATCTCTTGAAAAATAAGCTACAGTAGCATTGTCAACAACAGATCATATGGAATTAGCAGCTGAAATGCAAGAAGAAAAATTCCTTATCCAATTATTAAATACCATGATTAATTCAAGTGAAAATGAGCATGTCACTATCTATTGTGAAAATCAATGTACTATAGCTGTAGAATCAAAATGACAATTCTATTGAGTAGCAACATGCAAATTAGCCATCAAAGACAATTTTTAAGATAGCTATAAGTGGGAAAAGTGATGTACTCCCTGTATCTGTTATAGTTTCTTCGAAAATAAATAGGAAACATTGCTTTTGAAACAAACTCCATACAATAAGACTTGTACATATTTTGCTTGAATTATCTTAGTTGATATTACAAATGCTCATCATATTTTGTGCATAAATTAAACTTGCAATTTTGTTAAACTTACCATCAAATATTCCACTTTCTAGCAAACTGCCATTTTTTTCTAGTGCTGAAAATTCATCAGCAGTTAGGAATGTGTAGTGAACTCCATTTATCTCTCCAGGACGAGGAGAACGAGTGGTGCCTGAATGAGAAAAGAAAAGAAATTAAACAAAAGTTATATACTGTATTTGATTGATGATTATTTTGGGATCTGGGATATATTTATATATAAAAACGTTGGAGTTGAATACCAGGCCTGGCCGTGTTCCAGATCAAATTTGCATAGAATGTAGCATGAAAAAGTTGCAAAAACTGCTCTTCCAAATAATAATTTTATTAAAAAATATATAATTCTAAAAAAGTACATAAGCAATAACTATGTATCTTTCAACATAGCTCTATGTTCAATATGTTTATGAATGAATACATTTTATACACACAGTACAACTCACATTAGTCCCTTTAAATTTTATTAATATATAAAATTTAATTTAAAAAGTTTATTAGCAGGAATAACCATAATATTGATTTGCACCATTCAAATAAAAGGTCAATTCATTGTGTTGATGTAAACAAATAATAGTATTTTCTATGAAATGTAATGAATTTTGAAATCTCCAATTAATCATCACATTGCAGATTTGAAGTTTTAAAATGGGTCATATTACTGATTTGATAATGAAAAATTTTTAATAACTTTAGATTTCATAAAATTTAAAACAATGCTGGAAATTGCAATAATGATTGACAGGTACCACCAAACTCTGAAAAAGTTCATTGAAGACCCTAGACAATTCTGGTATAAGTCTTTACCTTAGCAATCTCTGTTCCATATCAAGAGAGAAATTATAAAAAACAGTTCTTGTAAATTTGTGAAATGTTTAGGCTTCATAGAAGAGAAGAAGTAACAAAAAATCACAATGTTATAAAGGAATAAAGTGTCACTGCCAACACTGGAGTTTAAACATAAATCGCCAGTGAACAAACACAGGCAATTGCATTTTGAATAAGTAGATCACATGACCATAAAGGAAATGCATAAAGGAATTAGCAAGGCATCTAAATGATCACTATTTATACTCTATCCTCTATTACTATACCCGATACTATTTCTCTAACTGATCATTATACAGATTACTATATGGATCACTATTTGATGGTTACTTTTTGAGCAAGTATTATCAAGCAAGTACTATTAGTGCAATTTTTATTCGAAGGCATCTGGCACCAGTATTGTTCACCGACATTACTATAGTTGTATGTGTGATTACAAAGTCTCTACTACAACAAACATTACAAAAGTGACAAGTATTCATTTAACTTACACGAGGATTAGTTCCACTTGAGGAAAAAAATAATCTGCAAAATATTCAGCAAAGTTCAGCAAAATGGAAGAACTAAAAGCTATCATGGTTCAAATATTGGTGCTACAAAAGCAACAAGAATAACAGTTGCAGCAATTACAGCATGAACAGCAATTACAACTACAACAACAGAAGTTTTTTTGAGTTGTTTACCAAAACAATGGAAGAAAACTTCAGATTCATTCACTCCAAATGCTGTTGCTAATTCAATCAGCAAAATTGAGTACAATCCAGGCGAAGAGATAACTTTTACATCTTATTATAGAAGATCTGAAGGTATCTTCAAAAGGGATTGTTTGCATTTGAATGATGAAAAGAAAGTTTGGTTATTAAGGAAATTGTCCCCTGCTGAACATGAAAATATACGAATTATATTTTGTCAAAAAACCAGGTGAGAAATTTTGATGAAACTGTTCTAATACTATCAAAAAGTTTTGGTGATAAGAGTTCATTATTTAATACACGATGTCTTAACTTAGTAAAGTCCAACGATGAAAATTTTGTCACTTATGCAAGAGTCATGAATCAAGAATGTGAAAAATTCAAGTTAAATGAATTAACTCCTGATTTATTTATATGCCTGATATTTGTACAGGGTTTAACTTCTAATAAAGATGTGGCGGTAAGTTCCAGGATACTTGCTAAATTAGAAAGGGAAAATGAACTCTCCAGAAAATAGCAGAATGTCAACGTATTGTCAATTTGAAACTCAATACTGCAAGGATTGAGGAAAAAGACAATTCACAGGTACATAGTGTCCAACCATCTAAAAGAAAAAACTACACTTTTCAAATTCTAACAGAACAGTAAAAAAAGACTATAAACCCACCTCAATACCTAATACTTGCCATGGTTATGGAGGTAAGCATTTTAAAAGTGATTGTTTCTTCAAGAACAAAAAATGCTATGAATGTGGGGGATTAGGACACAAAAGTATGTGTTGCAGATACAAAAAATTGGAGAAAAATGTGAACATGATAAATGCATGGAGTAACGATAAGAAGCCTAAAAGGGAAATTAATAAGACATTTCAAAAGAGGAAATTTGTTTTTGTGCAAATTAATGAAGTAAAAACAAAATTACAACTGGATACAGGATCTGATATCACTATAATAAATGAACAGACATGGAGAAAAATGAGTAATCTCAGTTTATTGACTTCTGATAAAGTGGAATTTCAGGAAAGAGATTGAACTTTTGAGGTGAATTCAGCTGTAATGTTTTTGTTGGAAAAATCAAAAAAGCCATGGTGTTTGTATTATAGAATACTGCTAATTTGTTTGAAACAGACTGGATTGCATTATTTGATCTTTGGGACCTTCTAATTAACTCTTTTTGCAACAAGATAAATATTGTTAGCCCCCAGTACTAATACGGCAACTGAAAAAGAGTTTGCAGCCTTAAAAATGAATTGGACAGACTAGAAAAATTAGGTGTGATATCAAAGATGACTATCCCGAATAGGCATCACCAATAGTCTATGTTAAAAAAAAGAATAATAAAATCCGCATACCTGCTGATTTTTAAACAGGGTTAAATGAAAGTTTAAAACAACATAACTATTTGTTAACAAGTCCAGAGGAAATTTTTGCCAACTTGAATGGCGGTAATTTTTTTTCTAAATTGGACCTGTCAGTATTGGACAGTATTTTTCTAAATTGGACCTACAAGTACTAATGGATGAAGACTGCTCAAAATTATTAACAATTAACACTCATAGAGGGTTATACAAATTCAACCAACTAGCTTTCAGTATAAAGGTAGCACCAAGTATATTCCAACAGATAATGGATACCATGCTTACCAGTGTGGATTGTGCTCAAGCATATTTGGATGACATACTTATTAAAAGTAAGACCCAAAAGCAACATAGAGAAGATGTAAAGAAAGTATTTGAGAGACTCAAAGAATATGGTTTTAAGATTAGTGAAGGAAAATGTGAATTATTTATGTCCAGACTTAAATATCTAGGACAAATTATTGATGAAAACAGTAGACAACCAGATCCTTCAAGGGCGAGTGTGATGAAGGACATGCCCCCTCCAACAAATGTAACAAAGTTACAAGCCTTTTTAGGGTTTGCTAATTACTATCATGTGTGTGTTTGTGTGTGTGTATATATATATGTATATATACACACACATACCAAACATGCACGAATTAAGTGCACCCTTGAATAAGCTGCTTAAGAAAGATGTGAAAGGGAATTAGACAGATAAATGTCAAAATGCTTTTGAAGAAATCAAGAAAGTCTGATTTGTCACTAGATCATTTTGACCCTAAATTAAAGATTGTGGTTGCATCAGATGCAAGTGATTTGGGTATTGGAGCAGTGATACTACACAAATATGAGGGCAGAACAACTAAACCAATAGCTCATGCTTCAATACCATTGATTGCAGCAGAAAGAAGAATAGGAAGCATTGGCCATCATATTTGCTATGAAAAAGTTTTACAAATTCATATATGGTAGATAATTCATACTACAGACAGACCATAGTCCATTATTGTCCATATATGGATCAAAAAAGGGTGTTCCCACACATACTGCAAATAGACTGCAGTGCTGGGAAACTATCTGATTAAACTATAATTATGAAATAGAGTTTCTAACATCCAAAAAATTAAGTCCTGCAGACGGATCGTCTAGACTAATGCCAAGATTCTGCGAACCACTTGAAGACAATAATTGCAGCGATAAGGGCTGAAAATGAAATTAATAGTGTATTATACAATACTGTAAGAGAACTACGCATAACATTGGAGGAAATAAGAATTAAGTCAGAAAAAGACGACTTTATAATGAAAAAGAAGAAGCAATTAAGATCTAAAGGAAAAAAATATTACTGGAAATAATGTATTTTCATTATGTAATGATGTACTTATGTACACAGAAAGAATTGTGATACCAGCATCATTGCAAAAACGTATGCTGAAAGAATTTCACATAGGACATCGAGGAATTTCTAGAATGAAATCCTTAATAAGGTGTTATACTTAATGGCCAAAAATGGATCAAGATATTGAAAATTTAGTGAGACAATGCAGAGGTCCTGAATACATATAGACTTCACAGGACTGTTAAATGGAGCATACTAGCAAGTGGTAATCAATAGTTACACTAAATGGCCAGTAATATTAAAATGTAAAAGACCAACTACCGTGGTAATGATAAATTTCCTACATGAGATTTTTGCAAGGTTTGGTGTTCCTGACTATCGTTTCAGATAACGGGACTCAATTCACGTCTAGTGAATTTAAGATTTTTTTGCAAATCATTAGCAATAGAACATATTACAACTCCCCTTATCACTCAAGATCAAACAGACAAGTGGAACGGTTTTGTGATACATTTAAAAGGGCATTCAAAAAGTCAGAGGGAGAGGAGTCAGATGAAGTAATGCTACAACAATTGTGTTTACAGAACATGAAACTCGAACACAGTGTCTGGAATGTCGCCTGCAGAGTTGATGTTCGCCAAGAAAATTAATTCAGTTTTTAATTAATTATTACCAGAACGTAAGGTGAGAGCATCAAGAAATAATAATATAAGTAAATAATTCAACCCTGGAGATAAGGTATTTTTAAAAATGTATCAACGTGGGAAAGAAATTCTGGGAAGATAGCGTTATAAAAAAAACGGATCGGCAAAATGACATACGTGGTGCAGGGACAAAGGTGGAAACGTAAGTGACTCCTTAATCAGTTAAAAAGGAGATTCAATGATTTAGTAAGTCCACAAAAAGAAGTACCAATGGAAATATTGTATGGTATGTTT